ATATTCACAAAGACCTCATGTTTAATTTAATCAGTCAGAGAAGATGGGGTCACTAAGTCTAACAGGGAAATAATATGGAATCTATAACATCAGCAGAGAGATATCTATTTGGGTAAACACTGCTGTCTGGAAGCATGTTCTACAGAAATGGATTGCCATGATGTCTGGGATTTGCTTTAAAGTATTCCAGCCAAAATAAGGCAGGAAAGATGAAATAAGATTGGAAAGATGTCATTCATTATTAAAGGTGAGTGATAGGGGCCGGCGCTGTGGCTCACTAGGCTAATCTTCCGCCTTGCGGCGCCGGCATACCAGGTTCTAGTCCCAGTCGGGGTGCCAGATTCTGTTCTGGTTGCCCCTCTTCCAGGCCAGCTCTCTGCTGTGGCCAGGGAGTGCAGTGGAGGATGGCCCAAGTGCTTGGGCCCTGCACCCCATGGGAGACCAGGATAAGTACCTGGCTCCTGCCATCGGATCAGTGCGGTGCGCTGGCCACAGCGGCCATTGGAGGGTGAACCAACGGCAAAGGAAGACCTTCCTCTCTGTCTCTCACTGTCCACTCTGCCTGTCAAAAAAAAATAATAAAATAAAAAAATTTAAAAAAGGTGAGTGATAGGTACACGAGCTGTATTACACTTCTTTATTTTTGTGTATAATTGAAATTTTCCATAGCAAAGTATTTAAAAATTCTGCAGTACAATTGTGCTGTTCCAGTTATATCCTTAACATTTTGCCTCTCCCGAGTCACACTTCCAAGGTGTTAAAGAAATCCTCCTGAATCCTTACCTCAGGGAAAGAAAGATGGAAGGAAGGCAGGAAGAAGGGAAGGAGGAAGGGATGGAAGAAGGGAGAGAGGGAGGAAGAAATAAAGAACTCTAGACAGTTGTGTGTTCAGCAGAGTCAAACCCCAGGTGCTGCCACTTCAGCTCCCAACTCTGCTGAACCACAGGCATGTAATGAAAACTCAGCAGGATTGACATCTGATAACGAATTTTCTCACTTCTGCCAAGTACCTAAGGAGATCAGAGTTGGTTATGAAGCATGGCCTACATATTGCTGTGATGCACACTGCTATTCATGGATTTGTATACACTTTTCCATTAAATAGGCTATATAAACTCTATAGATTATTCACCATGGGTGCTTTGATTCTTGGGAATCATGAAAAATGGCATCCTAAATGTGTGCAATAACAACACAAAAGGAGTTTGTGATGACCTTAACTTTACAGGAACAGTGTAAATACACAGGAGATTTTTCAACAGTGATGAAGAATTACTCACAAGTAAGTGAGGTCTGGAGGAATGACCTTAGTTTCACAGAAATGCCACAAGGACACAAAGTAATCAGTGTAGTGGAGAGAAAGCTCACGGATGGCGGTTTCTCCAAACGGCTATATAGTTATGGAGTCAATTAGGATTTCTAAGAATGAAGAATGTAGAAAGTGGTTAAATCATATGGCATTCTTTGCCCTCACTGTATTACACATATTGGTGCTTGGGAACATTTTATTTGCTCGTATTAGGAAATAATGCTAACACTCTTCCTAAGGACTGTCCCTCAAAACCAATGCCTTACTTCAGTAACTATTATCTGGCCCTGGCTAGAAGCTCCCAGAGACCTGGTTCACATGCAAACAGAATGACTTCTGGGGCAGAGTAATCTCAGTAAGGGACTGAAAATCATTCCATCAGGATCTATGGAAGGGAAGGAGCTGGTGAATCGGCAACTGGAGGGCTAAGGTGAGACATAACAGCTACTTTCAAATATTTGAGTGGTTATTTTATGAAAGATAGTAGACCTATTTTATGTAACTCAAGAGTAGGCCCCCTCCATGTAATTTAAGAGTAACTAGAACTATTCTGTGTAACTCAAGAGTGAGTTAAAGTTTCAAGGATCTAGATTTCAATTCAAACTGCAAAATGCTTTCTAAAAATTGGAGCAGTACTTGGTAGACTTGGTAATTCTTTGGAAAAAAAATCACCCTGTAACTGCTGATTCAGGTATGAGGATGTTTTTGCAATGCCACTCAAAATGTGGTTTACACAGTGCAGGCATTTGGTCTAGCAATAAAGATGCCCACGTCGGACACTGAAGTATGTGGATTCTCTGTCCAGCTATGGCTCTTGGCTCCAGCTTCCTGCTAATACAGACCTTGGAAGGCAGCAGATGGCCCAAGTGACTGGGTTCCTGCCACTCATGTGGGAGACCTGAAATGAGTTACTAGTTCCAGGTTTTGGCCCACTGGCCTTTACAGGCATTCGGGCAGTGAACCAGTGGCATTCACTCTCTCACTCTCTCTTTCTCTCTCTCCCTCTCATAAATTTTTTCAGAAAAATTATAAATGTGGCCCACTGGGGTCAATGTTCTAATGCAAGGGGTTAAGCCACCACTTGGAATGCTGGAATCCCACATCAGAGTGCCAATTCAAGTCCTGGCTGCTTTACTTCCAATCCAGCTTCATACTGATGTTCCTGGCAAAGCAGTGGCTGATGGCTCAAGTACTTAGATCCCTGCTATCCATGTTGGAGACCCTGATGGAGTTCTGGCTCCTGGCTTCAGGCTGGCCCAGCCCTAGCTATTGTGGGCATTTGGAAAAACTGAACCAGCAGGTGGAAGATCTCCGCCTCTTCCTCTCTGCCGTTCTGTCTTTCAAATAAACAAATTTTCAAAGCAGATGTGGCCCATGGAATGGTGCTAGTCCACCCGTTATTTTTTCTTCTTGACATTTAATTTATTGACTTTTTGCTGAAGTTTTACTTCCAAAACCGTGTTTCCTATAAATGGATAACATATAATAATTACCAAAAAATCCATTATAACATGTAGAACACTTATATATCTATGTATCAAATCTTTTATGTGCTTGTCTGACATACTGGTAGATATAGGAAGGCAATCTGTCCTAGATTTTTTTAATTATACTGAGGACACTTAGCATGAGAGTTACCCACTTAATGAATTTTTTAAGTGTACAATATAGTAATGGTAACCAGGGCACAGTGTTGTACAGAAGATCTCTAGAACGTAATCATCTTGTACAATAGAAACTGTATACCTGCTGAATAGCAACTTGTTTCCTGGTGCCACAGTGCCTGGGCATACTATCATTCTCTTTTCTGTTTCTGTGTTTTTAACTGCTGTATAGACCTCACATGAGATGATTCATGCTGTATTTGTCCTTCTCTGACTGGCTTATTTCACTTACTGCAGTGTCCCCAACATCCACCCATGTTGTTGAATATGGCAAGATTTCCATTTTTTTATTTTTTAAAGCCAACAACAAACATTCCATTGAAAGTGTATACCACATTTTCTTTATCCATTCATCCATCAATAGATATCTTGTTTGTTTCCTCATGTTGGCTGCTGTGAACAATGTAAGGAGTATGAGAGTGCAAACATTGCATTGAACCACTGATTCCCACACATTCTTTGGTACAGACCCACAAGAGAAGGAGTTTGTTCCAGGCTGTGAATTTGTGCACTGCTTTCATTTTCAATAGCCTTGCTATCAAAAGAAAATGGCAACAGAGCTACACAATGTCTTTTGTGGCATTCTTGAGCAGTTTGATTACTACTGCAATGGAAGAATTTTATTCATGAAGTACTTAGTGAGACCAGAGTATTTTCACAGTAATCAGATGATCACATTGCAAAATATGTAAAGTGGAAAGTTCCTTTCCAACACTAATATCAATGTTTCACTATTGGGAATGTGTTTCAAAGCTACACATCCTGGGTCTCTGTTGCTCCCTGGAACTTATTAGGAGTCTGTTACTTGGATCTGCACTATGCAGGGCCTCTGAGTTGAATAAATAATACATATTGCATATGTATGTAAGCCACCGTTTAAGAATATAAAGATTCTGTTAGTGGGACAGTGTTGTGGTGCAGTAGGTTAATCTGCCACTTAGGATGCTGGCATCCCATATTGGAGTGCCAGCCCAAGCCCCAGCTGCTCTACTTCTGATCCAGTTGCCTCCTAATGCACCTGAGAAAGCAGCAGAAAATGTCCCAAGTGCTAGGGAAACCCAGATGGAGTTCCAGGCTTTCTCTCTTTCTCTCCCTCACTCTTTCTGTCACTCTGCCTTTCAAACAAACAAATAAATATTTTTTAAAGATTCTGTGGGGCTGGCACTTTGACATGGGTAAAGCTGCTGCTCATAGTACCCATATGGGTGCTGGTTCCAGTCCTGGTTGGTTCACTTCTGATCCAGCTCCCTGCTAATGTGCCTGGGAAGGCAGTGGAAGATGGCCCAAGTGCTTGGGCCCCTGCACCCATGTGGGAGATGCAGAAGAAACTCCTGGCTCCTGACTCCTGGCTTCAGACCAGCCCAGCTTTGGTCATTGCAGCCATTTGGGGAGTGAACTAGTGGATGAACAATCTCTCTCTCTCTCTCTCTCTCTCTGACACTTCCTCTCACTCTCTCTCTCTCTCTCTAACTCTGCCTTTCAAATAAATAAATAAATCTTTTTTAAAAAGATTCTGTATGGAATATAAGAATTCATTTTAAAGTGTTATTGAATTCAAAGCAGTTCTTATTAATATGTATTTTCCCACAGAATATATACTGAAAGTACCATTTCTGTTACATGGATATCCAAAGCACTTTGAATGTAGTGCGTGTCTTTGCACCAATACTTTTGCTAATCCTTCAGACTCTGCATACTCAGCTGTACAGTGTGTGCACTGCACTCAACACTGGGTGAGGAAGCAAAAGGCGGCTGAACTTGAGTCCCATGTACTTATCCAGTCATCAGCCCTGGTGGTGAAATTGCATCAGCTGTAGGGTGACCAACTATCCCATTGCCTGGGACTAGAGTTTCCCAGAATATGGGATTTTCAGTGCTACATCTACACAGTGCAAACAACCCAAACCAGGGCACAGATGAACCTGTAACATCAGCCTGAGACTCCCTCCACGAGAAAAACCAGGCAGAAACAGCTGCAAGTGGTGAAGCCATCTTCACATCATGTCTTTTCTCCTTATGTTTTCAAGGTGAAAGAGCCATGTATTCCCCCGAACATCCTGACCAAGCCCGATCCAAGAACCTTCTGGACTAATGATGAATCAGGTATTGTTGGAAAGATGCATTCTGGTCCTTTATGATGTACAGGATGCATTCTGTAGTAAAGCTCTATGTAATGGCAAGATTTGGGGGGAGCTTCTGTTTGTTTTTACCTGACCCAACATCTGAACTCACTTCACCAATGTTATCATCATGAAAGTCTTTTCATTATATCTTCAGTATCTACCATTTATGTACCATCAGGTGCAGCTATATGAACTGTGAAATATCTTCAAGTGTGGGGAGGGAACAGAGGAGAGGGTATATTTCCTACAGTCAAGGACAGAATAGAATAAAGGGAGCAAGTGAACTGCTCCAAGTTTATCTTCCAGGACAAGGGAAGAATTGGAAAACTTAAGGTGAAGTATTCTTCAGAATACTTTATGACTGGTACTCTAGATCCAGGAGTATAATTCTTATCAGAATCTTGGGGATGGCACTTCATGAGATCAGAGAATATGCTTCAAGTTACAGAATTTAAAATTATACTCAGATATAGTGAAATCTGTGTTCTTATAGGAAATAGGGGTTATCTTCTATATACACACATGTGTGCCATAAGACTGAATGACACAATGTAGATGCTAGAAATGAAAAGTGGAGGTGAAGCAAAACAGAGCTAAAACGATTAAGAGAGTGATAATAGAGTCTTCACCTTTTTAATTTAATAGACTCTACTGGGACAGAAAACTAGTGCTGATACAGAATACTTGTATTATGCCTCACAGTTTTCTGAAGTGTGTTCACGAAAATCTAACTTAATGTTTGTAGCAACCTAGTGAAATAGGAGGGCAGCCTATGCTCCATATCCTTGGGTTAGCTATGAGACAACAGGCTGCATATGTGAGCTGATTTGTGGAGAGCTCAAAGTCAGAAAACACGAGGACCAAGATAGGATGGATGGCCAAGTGTCCAGGTATATAGTACAAAGGTACCCAAAAGAGTCTGAGGGCAAATATAGTTAAAAGCCAAGTGTATTTTGTTTTTTTAAAAAAAGTTTTGAAATCCAGCCGGCGCCGTGGCTCAATAGGCTAATCCTCCGCCTAGCGGCGCCGGCACACCGGGTTCTAGTCCCGGTTGGGGCGCCGGATTCTGTCCCGGTTGCCCCTCTTCCAGGCCAGCTCTCTGCTATGGCCAGGGAGTGCAGTGGAGGATGGCCCAGGTGCTTGGGCCCTGCACCCCATGGGAGACCAGGAAAAGCACCTGGCTCCTGGCTCCTGCCAGGATCAGCGCGGTGCGCCGGCTGCAGCGGCGGCCATTGGAGGGTGAACCAGCGGCAAAGGAAGACCTTTCTCTCTCTGTCTCTCTCTCTCACTGTCCACTCTGCCTGTCCCCCCCCCTAAGTAAAAAAAAAAAAAAAGTTTTGAAATCCGTGCCCCCCTACCGGCATAAAACACATTTGAATATATACATGGATTTCAAAAATGTGTGCAGAAAATAACTTTTATTTCCATAAACTTTTTGAGCTACCTTTGTACACTTCCTAGGAAGAAGTATCTCTGTGAGAAGCAGCTTGGGGTACATCTGGACTATAATTGTTTCTTCATAAAATGAGACAGAGACTATGCCTATCAGAAATAGGAGGAGTTGAGGAAGGAAGTAAAAACGCTCTGATGGCTTTTTTTCCCCAAAGTATAAAGGTATAAATGTATTATAAACTTAATCTGTCAAAAAACTTTTCTGTCTTATTTTATGTATTTCTTTTGAAGAAAGGTGAAGAAACATGAAAGTAAATTGTTCTATATATGATGCTACATTGGTCCATTATTAATACAACACCACAATAAAAATGTCATCAGCTGGTTAATACTGCTATTAAGATCTACAACACATATACTGTGAAGAAATAATATAGAAAGAAACATTATAATTGAAAATAAATGATTCTCTCTTTTTCCTTTTTCACACTTTTCATTTCTTGCAGTTAACTTTGTGTCTTCAGAATCAATTTACCTTTAAAAAAATTAGTATTTCTTATTCATCAATCTGCCTCCCCTTCTATTTATTTATTTATTTTTTTTTTTTTTATTTTTGACAGGCAGAGTGGACAGTGAGAGAGAGAGACAGAGAGAGAAAGGTCTTCCTTTGCCGTTGGTTCACCCTCCAATGGCCGCCGCTGCAGCCGGCGCACCGCGCTGATCCGATGGCAGGAGCCAGGGTCCAGGTGCTTTTCCTGGTCTCCCATGGGGTGCAGGGCCCAAGCACCTGGGCCATCCTCCACTGCACTCCCTGGCCATAGCAGAGAGCTGGCCTGGAAGCGGGGCAACCGGGACAGAATCCGGCGCCCCGACTGGGACTAGAACCCGGTGTGCCAGCGCCGCAAGGTGGAGGATTAGCCTATTGAGCCACGGCGCCGGCCAATCTGCCTCCCCTTCTAAGAAAACAAACCCCAGGAAGGACTGTGTAGAAGAGATTGGAATCTGTAGAGAAAATGTTGCTCAGACATTTTTAGAAACTTTAAAAATTATGCTGTAAAAAAACCTAATGCACAACATAGACATAAGAATACTGCAGATCTACTCATTGTTTAAATGTTTGAATATTTTCACATCACCAAAGGTTTACAAAGATAGAGTGTCCTTCCAGCAGAAGTTCATGTAATGAAGATCCTACTCATGACCAACTCAGGATCTCTACCTACAGTGATTTTCTTTTTTGTCCAGTTGTTTAATCAAGTACTGAGATGGAGTATTAAGATCTGCACCTGTGGTGGTGGAATTGTCCCTTGTTATTAATTCAGTCAGATTTTGCTTTTTATGTTGTGAAGCTCTGTTATTAGGCACATGCATCTTCATGATTATTGTAATTTCTTGATGAACTGATAATTTTCAAAAATTAGTATTTATTTTAAAAAGAGACATATAGACCCAGACACACACAGAAAGAGAAAGGAGAGAGAGAGAGAGAGAGAGAGAGAGCCATACCATCTACTAGTTCATTCTTCAAATGTCTACAATGGCTAGGACTGGGCCAGAGCCAAAGATGGGAAGCAGGGATGCAAGCCAAGTCTTCCATGTGGATGGAAAAAAGCTAATCACTTGAGCCATTCTGCTACTTCCCAGGTGCAGATTAGTAGGAAGCTGGAATAAGGAGCCAGACATGGGTTTCAAACCCAGTCATGTGACATGGGATACAGGCATCTTAAAGATTTATTTATTTATTTGAAAGGCAGAGTTACAGAAAAAGAAAGGGGAGACAGAGAAATCTTCCATCCACTAGTTCATTCCTCAAATGGTCAAAATGGAAAGGGTTGGGCCGGGATGCAGTTAGGAGCCAGGAGCTTCTTCCAGGTCTCCCATGTGGGTGGCAGGGGCCCAGAAACCTGGGCCATCTTCCTCTGCTTTCCCAGACGCATCAGCAGGGAGCAGGATTGGAAGTGGAGCAGCAGCGACAGGAACCAGCGCCCATATGGGATGCCGGTAATGCAGGCTGTGACTTAACCCACTATGCCACAGCTCTGGCCCTGGATATGGGCATCTTACCTGGCATATTAACCATTAGGTCAGACACTCATCCCTTGATCATTTGTTGTTAAGAAATGTCCCTCAGGCTGGAGTTGTGGCACAGTGATGCCAGCAACCCGTTCTGGCCTCCAGCAACTGCTGATCTATTTTCTATCTCTGTGGGCTTCCTTATACCAGGAAACTCCAATACATGAAACCACATAACACATAATCCTTTGTGACGGGTTTCTCTTACCTAACATGTTCTCAGGGTTCACCCATAGTGTACCATGTAACAGTACTTCATTCCTTTCATGGAAAAATAACATTGCGTTGTACGTACTATTCTATGGAATCACATTTTGTTTATCCATTTATCAGTTAATGGACATTTAGGTTGTTTTCATTATTTTAGCTACTATAAATAATTCTGAGTTTGAGTCTTGGTTTTGAGTATGAGTAAAGTATGAATTTTTGTGTGTTCTCATGTTTTCTTTTCTTATAAGTATATGGACTTTCTGGATCATATAATAACATTATATTTAACTTTTTGAGGAACTGCCAACCTTTCCCAAAGTAGTTGTATCTCTTTACATTTCCACCAACAGTGTTTGAGTTCTAACTTCTCCACATCTTTGCCAATACTTGTTACTATCTATCTTTTTATTTCAGTTACCCTGGTTGGTAAGAAGTAGTGTTTTGTTGTGGGTGGAGTATTTTTTTTTAGTTTTTTTTTTTTTGCCACTTAAAATTTTTTAAAATTTTAGATTAACATGAAAGGCATGTAAATTTATGGGATATATGACAATATTTCAACAGATATATAGAGCATGAATACCTTTTATGCTGATTTTCTAACATGACAAGCATTAATTTTTTTTAAGATTTATTTTATTTATTTGAAAGACAGAGCTACAGAGAGAGGTAGAGACAGAGAAAGAGAGAGAGGTCTTCCATCCACTGGTTCACTCTTCAAATAGCCACAACAGCTGGAGCTGGGCCAATTCAAAGCCAGGGGTCAGGAACTTCTTCCAGGTCTCTCATGTGGGTGCAGGAGTCCAAACACTTTGGCCACCCTCCGCTGCTCTAACAGGCCATAGCGAGAGCTGGATCAGAGGTGGAGCAGCCGGGACTCGAACTGCTACCCATAAGGCATGTGGGCGCTGCAGGCCCAGGGCTTTAACCTGCTGTACCACAGCGCCGGCCTCTTTAAAGAAATTTTAACACATAATAATGGTACATATGAATGGATACGGTATGATAATATAATATCACCATTATGCTAGCTATTTTATATGTTCCTTCTCTTCTGTTTGGCTGTTCTTTGTTTTCAAACACCTCTAAGATTATTTTTGTTTAGAATTTAATATTAATTTTATCTATCAAGTTTCTAGCTATCTCTCTTTGTATATTAGTGGTGACTCTAGAGATTACAATAAATAACTTTAAATTTTCACAGACCACTATGGAAACTTAATATTGGTCCATTTACCTACCCCCACCTTCACCCACATGCTTTACATGATGGTTGTCATATCTGTTGCCTCTATAAATTAAATAAAC